CCCCATTTTGGCGCACCCCTCACACGGTTCGTGGCCCCATAGGGAGCTCCACCGAAGGCCCCAGAGGCAGGGTTCGCATGGTGGCCCCGCCTCGTTTTGGCGCACCCCTTACACGGTTCGTGGCCCCAAAGGGAGTCCCACCGAAGGCCCCAGTGGCAAGGTTCGCATGGCGGCCCCGCCTCATTTTGGCGCACCCCTCACACGGTTCGTGGCCCCATAGAGAGCTCCACCGAAGGCCCCAGTGGCAGGGTTTGCATGGCGGCCCCGCCTCATTTTGGGGCACCCCTCACATGGTTTGTGGCCTCATAGGGAGCTCCAGCGAAGGCCCCAGTGGCAGGGTTCGCGTGGCGGCCCAGCCCCATTTTTGGCGCACCCCTCACACGGTTCGTGGCCCCTTATGGGAGCTCCACCAAAGGCCCCAGTGGCAGGATTCGCATGGCGGCCCCGCGCCAGTTTGGCGCACCCCTCACACGTTTCGTGGCCCCATTGGGAATTCCCCTTGCTTCGTCCCACTGGCCCTGCGATTCTCACACTTGCGTATGGTTGGGTCCTTCGCCAGGATAATTTGGTACGTCTTCCTCTTCCATTCCTTTTCGTTATGAATGACACCTCCCTGTCGCATCCCCGCACCCCGAGGCCAGTCGGAAGGGCGGGCTGGGCCTGAGACTTCCTCACCACTGATAAGCCTGACACGTAACAACTGTCAACAGTTCCACACATGGAGGGCGGGTGGTTTTCAAAACGTGGCTCTCGCCATAGCCACAATTTACAAGAGTTTCAAGGGTTGAGGGCGGGTGGTTTTCAAAATGTGGTTCTCGCCTCAGTGCCGCGCACATTCGTTTCACCGTTTAACAAAAATTGCAAGAGCTTCGCGGATTGAGGGCGGGCCGTTGTTTGAATGTGGCTCTCGCCGTAGCGCCGCGCACATTCGATTTAAACATTTGCAAGAGCTCTACGAATTGAGATCGGTTCCTTCTCAAACTTTGGTTCTCGCCTTAGCGCTGCGCACATTCTTTTCAAACAATTTCAAGAGCTTCGATTGTCCTCAAGGTTAACCAACCATAAGTCGTGTTTTGGAACGATTCACGATTGGCAGGGCGCCACAGTTAATTACATACGTTGATTCGCTGTGTTGAAGTCCCAGAAACGGTGTTATGGCACGATTCAGGACAGTCAAAACGCAACACTCAGGTTGACTCGTGGCGTTGAAGTCCTGCGAATGGTGCTCTAGCGCGCGTCAGCAGTTTCACACGGTTGTCCTCCAACGGGGCACGTCCCTCACTGGGAATGAACTCCTGTAGTGGCCTATGAAGAAGGAACTTGTCAGGACGGTGTATCCAACCGCGTTGATGAGTCTTCGGCTTGCACTGGTCCTCTTCCTCATCCTCCTCCTCCTCCTCCTCTTCCTTGTCCTCCAGCTCCTCGTCCACATCCTCCGCCTCCTGCTCCTCCTCCTCCTCCTCCTCCTCCTCCTCCTCCTGTTCCTCGTTCTCCTCCTCCCCCTCTCCTCCTTGTTGTTGATTTGCTTACGAAACGTATGCTGGCGTGGGCATGAGCCGTCGCGTGAATCCTCCTCCGTCTCCTCCGCCTCCTCCTCCTCCTCCTCCTCCTCCTCCTCATCCTCCTCTCATCCTCCTCTCCTCCTCCCTCCTCCTCCTCCTCCTCCTCCTCCTCCTCATCCTTCTCCTCCCTCCTTCTCCTTCACCTCCTCCTCCTGCTCCTCCCCCACCCACAGGACCGCTCAGCAGGCTGTGGGTCCTCGGTGCCCAATAGCCGGGCCGCTCCCCTCGGCCCCCGCCCACCTCCGCGGAGACTTGTGTTCCGGTCTTTGCCGCCGATGGGGGATGGGCGGACGAGGAGCACTGCGGAACGTTGCCGGCCTGGGCTCGAGAGGAATGGGCGCGGGCCATGGGGAAAACGGAAAAGGAAACCCTTCCGGCACAATGCCTGGCGCGACCTCACGGGGCCAGACGCCCCTGGGAGGCAGCGACGGCCTGCGTTGGCCCCGAGCTCGGCCCGACACTGGGCAACGACGCCCGGCGTGAAGCAAGTGCACCGCCATCGGTCGCAGGGCACGGATGGCCCCGATTTTCGGATCCGCCATAGTTCTGGCGATCTCGTGACCAGGGTGGAGATCCCCACCCCACTTTTCAAGCTCCTCTGGTGCCGGCTTCCGCCCTGCTTTCGCCGTGGGTCTCTGCCACAGCTTTGCCTACGTCGCCGCCCAACTATGTCTGAAACGGCAGCGCATCCGCCCCAAACCTCTCGCATGGTTTCGGGTGCACTTCCGATACAGTCGGGGCGTTGACCTAAGGAACCCTAAATAAGGAACGAGGCCCCTGTTCCCCTTAACTTGAACTTCGACTCCCCATGGAAGACCCAAGGAAAACCCAAGGCAAACTGTAACACATTCAAGGAACACCGAGCCCCTCCCCAACGAACAGGGTTCCTTCTTCCGCGCCCCGACTGTACAGTCGGGGCGTTGACCTAAGGAACCCTAAATAAGGAACGAGGCCCCTTTTTCCATAAGTTAGCCTTCGATTTCCTGTCGGAAACATAAGGAAAGCCTGAGGCAAGCTGTGAAACACTGAAGGAACACCGAGCCCCTCCCCAGCGAACAGGGTTCCTTCTCCAGCGCCTCGACTGCACAGCTCAAGTTGGAGACTCGGCCAACATACGGCCGGCCCATAGTCCGGAACAGCGGCGGCGGCGGCGGCGACCGAAGTGCCGCGCGCGCGCGGGGCTCCCCTGGCGCGCGCGGGGCCCCGATGTCTTGCTGCTGTCCACGCGTGAAGGGGCCCCGGGGCACACAAAAGTACATACACACAAATGAGAGGACGCCCCATATTTTCCCATGTTTTTTGGGGGGGTCTGTCTTAACTTCCCATAGTTTCCCATATTTTCTGGGGAATCTTCGATGCATTGTGTCTCTGTGTGTGTGTCTTCTCCCCTCCCGAAGGTTGTCCACGCGCAGCCCCCCTGAAGTCCCGAGCCTTTCCCCACGGCCTCCTCCGGAATCATCCGCCGGCGTGCCTCTGGGCCCGGAGCGGGCGCGTCCCCAGGTCTTTTGCCCCATCCTGCTCCTCCTCATCCTCCTCCTCCTCCTCCTCCTCCTCCCCTCCTCCTCCTCCTCCTCCTCCTCCATCCTCCTCCTCCTCCTCCTCCTCCTCCTCCTCCTCCTCCTCCTCCTCCTCCTCCTCCTCCTCCTCCTCCTCCTCCTCCTCCTCCTCCTCCCCCCCCGGGACCTCGCCCCCACTGGGGAAACCAAGAGGTACCGATACCGCTACCTCCTGGCAGAGACAGCCGAGTGAAAGCATCGTGCGTCAGGGCGCAGATGCCCGCAAGCGCAGGGCGAACCTCAGTCCTCAGTTCGGGAGAATCCCTTCGGGGCCCGTCGCGCGCTCCCTGTGGGTTCCCCCGCGTCCTGCCGCGTGGCGTGTTCGGGCCCGGAGCCGTTCCAAAACGAGCCAGCGGAACCTCGAGAGGCTCCCCAAAGTCCAAGAGGGCACCGAATCGCTGAAGCATCGGCCCAAGGCCTGCGAGGTGGCCGCAAGTCTGCCCAAGAGGCCCCCAAGACGCCCCAGGAGGCCTCGAAGAGGCCTCACACATCTAGCTACCCGCTCCCAAAAAGCCTGCAAAAAGGCGCCCAGGAGGCCCCCAAAAAGGCGCGATGCCCAACCAGGCCCCCGAGAGACCCAAAAGAGGCCCCCAAGAGGCCCCAGGACGGCCCCCAAGGGGGTTCCAACATGTATCCAAGAGGCCCCCGAGGCGGCGGCGGCCGACACGCGGCGCGCGCGCGCGGGCAGGTGGCGACATCCGAGCCACACCCACACCAACCATCAACCATCGACTGCAGTCGGGGCCCTGAAGAAGGAACCCTTTTCGTTGGGGAGGGGCTCCGCGTTCCTCAAGTGTTTCACAGCTCGCCTCAGGCTTTCCTTCTAGGTTGTCGAGACGAAATCGAAGTTCAGCGTACGGAGAACAGGGGCCTCGCTCCCTATTTCTCGTTCCTGAGGCCAAGGCCCCGACTGCATCCTCGCTCGATGGGCGGCGGGGGCTGGGCCCGGATGTCGCCGCGTGCTCGACGAGTTCCGAGCCGCGCCCCCGCTGCCCACCCAGGTGCCCAAACACCGTGGGGCGACGGAGGTGCGGCTCGGATTGTCGCCGCCGAGCGGGGCTCTCCTCGCGCGCCGCCAGGGGCCAGCGGGCCAGCTGGCCGGGCGGCAGCGCCAGGACGGGGCCGCAGGCGGCCAGCCGGCCATCCTCCGCGACGTCCGCCACGGCCTCGCCGAGGCCGGCTGCCCGCCGCCGCCGCCGCCGCCGCCGCTGCTGCTGCCGAAAGGCTGCCACGGGATGGTGCACTCCACAGCGTGTGCGAATCTGGTCGACGGGGAACAGACGGCATAAACATAAAGGTATGGCTTCTTTCTTCTTTGATCTGGCCATCGCTTGGACGTCCATTCCCCGGGCACGTTTCGAGCTCGTGCCTGCTTCTGTTGCCTGCTGTTCCAGGATGCTCCGCGATGGTCCTCGCCGAGAATGTACACACGTCCGAGCGATGCCACGACAAGTGCCAACCGTTGGCAACCGCGGCCGCGCAGCACCCGCGACTCAGTTGCCGTCTGCGCACATCCCAGGGAGAGCAAGCCGAAGTCCGCCGCGGAGGCATTGACAGTGCGTTCCAGACGCGCCCGCCGCCGAAGGACGAGCCTGGGAGCCGCCCAGCGGTTGCTGCGGATGCTCCTGGGAACTCGACGCCGCGGACTGTGCCCTCCGACCTCTGGCGCAAAGCCCTCCACCCCTCACAACATGTGGTGCCGGCGGGAGGGTAGCAAAAAACAACAGGTGAGCGACCGAAGAAGGGAACGACGCAGCGGCGGACGCGACGAACGAGCACCTCGAAAGGTGGGGGGAGGGACAGAGGCGCGGCTGCCTGCTGCGGCCGGCGTGCGCGAGCAGGGGAGGCAAAAAGGCACCGACACTGCCACTCCCCGGCCCTCTCCCGGGGCGCGTTCTGACCAGAACTGTGGGGCGAATGCGGCGGTGGCGACGAGGGCCTCCCAGGAGGCTCGAACAGGGGAAAACGAGGGAAGGGCAGTGGTAATGTACCGTTTCCTCCTCCGAAAAAGGGGGGCCGAGCCCGAGTCCCAGCCCCCGAGCGGGGGGGCTGAGGCCCACCACGGCTCGCCTCTCGGAGCGGGGGCTGCTGCGCCGACGGCGCTGCTTCTCGCTGCCGCTGCTGCCCCACCTCGCCCTCGGCAACAAAAAATGAAGGCCTCCACCACGTCCTCGCTGCTGCCCCACCTCGTCCTCAGCTGCTGCCCCACCTCGTCCTCGTCCTGCTGCCCCACCTCGTCCTCGCTGCTGCCCCACCTCGTCCGCAGCAGACAATGAAGGCTTCTGGATGGGGTCGGAGTAGAGTCGGACTTGGTTGGGCAGGGCACGCGAGAGGACACAGGACCCTTCTGGGGGCCAAAAATGCAGGAGGCATGGGTCGCAAGACACAGGACACGAGGGTGCCCTTGATCTGCCAGGGTCGACCCACTAATCCGGGCCACCTGTAGATGGGGTCGAAGGATCGCGCCGCATCGCCGATGCATCGGCGATGCATCGGCGATGCATCGGCGACGTCGGCGATGCGTCGGCGACGCCAGCGTGGAGAAAATCGGGCTCCGCATCGAGCCGTATCGGCGATGCATCGGCGATGCGGCGCGATCCTCCGACCCCATCTACTCGGACCCCATCCAGGAGGCCTAGAAAAAAGGAGCTCGCAATCTCTGTGCACAGGCCAGGGCTGGACCTAAACATTGTGCTTCGTGCTGTTCCCGTGTTGTGCTTCGCTCTGCTATAATTGTTCTCCCTGCTGTCTCCCTGCCACTGCGAAACAAAAAAAAAAACCCAGCCGACGTCCGGCAACACAGCGTGTAGGGCCAGCCCTGGCACAGGCACACAGGCCCTGGCCGGGCCCGCCCTGGGCACAGGATCGGTGCACAACTGCGCCCCCTTCTGAGCTTGGCCGGGCAGCCGTGCGCACCGCTCCTGGGCCCAGGTGTGCGTCTGGCCAGGATGGGCGCCTCCTCCTCCTCCTCCTCCTCCTCCTCCTCCTCCTCCTGCTCTCCTCCTCCTCTCCTCCTCCCCCTCCTCTCCTCCTCCTCCTCCCCCTCCCCCTCCTCCTCCCTCTCCCCTCCTCCTCCTCCTCTCCTCCTCCTCCTCCTCCTCCTCCTCCTCTCCTCCTCCTCCTCCGCTCCTCCTGCTCCTCCTCTCCTCCTCCCCCTCCTCCTCCCCCTCCTCCTCCTCCTCCTCCTCCTACTCCTCCTCCCCCTCCTACCCCTATCCTCCTCCCCTCCTCTCCTCCCTCCTCCTCCTCCTCCTCCTCTTCTTCTTTTCTCTCTTCTTCTTCTTCTTCTTTATTCGTCTTCTTCTTCTTCCTCCTCCTCCTCCTCCTCCTCCTCCTCATGCGCGCGAAGTGGCCTCTTCGCCGGACATCCTGAATCCTGCTGCTGCTGCTCTTCCGCCTGCTCTCCCTGCCCCCACCATTCCCCGGCGGGGGGGTCCTGCTGCTCCTGGCTGGAATGAGAAAAGAGAAGGTATACACATTTCAGTTTCGGAGGTCCGCAAGAAGCTGTCCCAACCATCCTGTGGTGCTGAGTCTTCGTTTTGAAGAGACAGCGCCCCGCGTCTCCTCTCCTCTCCTCCTCCTCCCATCCCTGTCTCTCCTCTCCGCATGTCCACCATTTTGGCATACCCCTCACACGTTTCGTGGCCCCACAGGGAGCTCCACCAAAGGCCCCAGCGGCAGGGTTCGCATGCAGTTCCACCCTCATGTCGGCGCACCCCTCACACTGTTCGTGGCCCCGATGGGGAAGCTCCACCGAAGTCCCAAGCGGCAGGGCTCGCATACAGTTCCACCCTCATGTCGGCGCACCCCTCACACGATTCGTGGCCGTGGAGCTCCACCGGAGACGATGCTCACAGCTGCGGCACCCACAGCTGCACATGGTTGGGTCTTTCGCCAGGCTGAACTTGGCTGGCGCTGGACCCCCCAGGCAGCGCCTCTAGCGCCGCCCCTGGCGGGCTCCGCGCGCCAGGGCGGGGTATGAGTACGAGTATGACCATAAGACAAAGTCTTGTGATTAAGCCCTCTCCCCAGCTCAGAAGACGGACGAGACGAGGAAGCCCCACAGCACGAACCATACGAAGTACATGAACTGACAAACTGAGAATCCCACCGATATTGTGTGTTGCGATGCCAACCAAGCGCGCCAGAGCGGGGGGTCCAGCGCCGATCCAGGAACTCCGCGAGAACCTCAGAAAAATTCACGGTCGGGAGCTTCTGCTCAACGTGACGCCGCGCGGCCCCGGCTGCACGCCACTGTCGGCAAGCGGGCAGCGTGCCGTCGCTCGGACGCCCCTTTCCCGTGCATGTTTCGGTTTCGTGCGTGTTTTTTTGTTGCTGGATGGTCCAGGATGGTCCTCGATGGTTCTCGCCGAGAAGAAAAAATGCTCACGTCCGAGCGATGCCAAGACAGCGCGCTGCTCCGCTCCGTGGGGCGGGGTGCTCGGAAAGGCTGGGGACGTTGAAATCTGGGGGCTGGGACGTGGATAGCGCGTCGCGCCAAAGCGTGGCGGGCTAGGACCAGCGGAGCTACGCGCTATCCAGACAAATTCCCGGCCTTATCTGGACATTGTTTTTGTTCTCCCTCGAGCTCCTCCCTCCTCCCGTTCGTCGCGTTCCTCCCCCCACCTCCCGAACACCGATGCGCGGATGCCGCACGCTGGCAGCTCAAAGGGTCGCAGTGGCGGGGCCGCTCTGATCTTCTTGTCGCTACTTTTGTTTGCTCTGTGTTGCAACTGCTGAGCCCCCACTAGCCTTAGCGGATCAAAAAACATACGGTCCGGAAATGTTGCTCAGCGTGTCGCGGCGGCGGCCCCGGCGACACGCCATGCTCTGCAAGCGGATAGCGTGTGGCTCCGCTCCAGCGGGCGGGAGGCTCGGAAAGGCTCGGCACGTGACATCTGGGGGCTGAGAAATACACAGCGTGCCGCGCCGAGGCGCGGTGGGGCATAACCGGCGCCGCGACACGCTCAGCCAACGTTCCTGACCGTAGGCGTCGGTCCCCTATCGGTGCTCGTTTTCTGCGTTTTCCGCTGACCTGCCGCGCTCTGCTCTCGTCGCTGGTCTGGCACCATGCCTCGCGCCATGGAGCAGATCTGCAGGGTCAAACAGTGCCTGCTCCTCGTCCTCGCCCTCGCCCTCGCCCTCGTCCTCCTCCTCCTCCTCCTCCTCCTCCTCCTCCTCCTCCTCCTCCTCCTCCTCCCTTTCGCTGCTCCCTCTCGCGGAGACGGCCTGCGCGCCGCCGGCGCCAGACGCCCCCGGGCCCAGCAGCGGGATGGTGTCCAGGGCCTCCCCGCCTGCGCGGGCCCGCGCGCGCGCGTCGGGGGCCCGCGGATGCCGCAGAGAACGTTTGCGGCCTTGGCGCAGCTCTCCTTCTCCTGGTCCTCCTCCTCCTCCCCTTCCTCCTCCTCTCCTCCTCCTCCTCCCCCTCCTCCTCCTCCTCCTCCTCCCCTCCTCCTCCTCCTCCTCCTCATCCTCCTCCCCTTCCTCCTCCTCCCTCCCCTTCCTCCTCCTCCCTTCCTCCTCCTCCTCCTCCTCCTCCTCCTCCTCCTCCTCCCTCCTCCTCCTCTCCTCCTCTCCTCCTCCTTCCTTCTCCTCCTCCTCCTCCTCCTCCTCCTCCTCCTCCTCCTCCTCCTCCCCCTCTCCTCTCCTCCTCCTCCTCCTCCTCCTCCTCCTCCTCCTCATCCTCCTCCTCCTCCTCCTCCTCCGCTGGAAAGCAGGTGCGAAGATCAAACGTATCCGGATGGGGGCAAGTCGGGAATCTCGCCTTCTCATTTTGGAAGGGCCCCGACTTCGGATCCGCCGCATTTGAAGGGGCCCCAGGACAGACATAAATACACACTAATAAACAGATTCCTCATATTTTCCCATATTTTCTGGGTTTTTGTTTCCCCCCCCACTTCCCATATTTTCCCATATTTTCAGGGGAATCGACGATTAATTGTGTCTGTGTGTTTCTTCCCCTCCTGAGCATTCTGGGTGACTTCGCCCAACGTGTCAAGCCCCTTTGAGGCCCACTTCCGCCCTGGAAAAGCATGCAGGACCTGCTCTAGAGAGCAGGAGCATACCGTAGACGGATCTGCCCTTTCTCGGACCCTGCACTGCGCCGGAGGAAGCGGCCGCATTGTCTATAGACGGTTCCAATCCCGAATGTGTCTATTTGCGTATATACACAGATACTAGAACCAGAACAAACGTAAAAGGACCGCGCGGAAATCTCCAGAAAGCTGTGACGCAACGAGATATGCCAATGCGTGCGGGCGGTCCCCCTTCCGAATGCCACAACCAACACGTCGTCCGAAGCATTGGGAGCATGGGCCACCCGTGCCCAACCCAATGTTTGCCCATAAGCTTTCCAGAATAATCCATACATCGGGGTCGCGCTCGTACAATTCAGCGTAAAACCGATAGTTCCTACAACGCTGGAAAGTGCCGCGCGTTGCCGCATTCGCCGTCACGCATGATCTTGTTCGAACGTAGCCTTTTTCCGAACTGCCGCACATGCTGCACATGCGTGCGTACATGTCTGAACCCATCAGGGCTGAGTATGTGTCTGCTTCACGTGTCCAAGCCTCGACGCAGGATAGGCACTGCTCCGGCAGGGGCATCGGGCATTCCCGCCTGCTTCCTCCCTCCTGCCTCCCGCTTTGCCTCATTGCTGCCTGTGCCTCCCTCCCTCACTCCTGGGGAGTTGCGCTCCTCCACTTCGCTCCCTCCTTGCCTCCCTTCTTCGCGTCCCCCTCTCGCCCGTCACTGCCTCGCCGCCCCTACTCAGCCCTGGCAGCGTGGAGGCCCCTCGTCACCGCGCGGGGGGCAGGGCTGACGTCAGGCTCCAACATCCGAGCCCGATCCCAGTAGGAGAACGAACGACGAAGAACTTTGAACTCCACCGTTTGCGTTCCGTTTCTGACGCCGGGCAGACTTGAGAGTCCGTGCCGGGTGCCCTCGCGCACTTCTCTGGGGTCGCACTGACGACGGGGGAGCAGCTGCACCAAAGTATGCTGGAATGTGGAGGAGCCTGTGTCGAAGCATGGTTGCACGCATGGACAGCTCGGTTGTGCGACGACAGTGGTGCGGTGAAAAGCCCACATGGTGCTACAAGGGCAACCGGCGGGCTGATGCGTGACAACGACAGCGATGACGATGACGCTGATACTCGCTTTTGTTCCGCCAATTCATCCAAGGTGTGTATTCTCACAACTGGCGTTTTTGCACAGCTTCGGACGCACATTCGCACAATTTCGGGCGGGACGCCCGCCGGCGCTGCACCGTCAAGGGGGGCAAGCCCGAACATGAGGCAAGCCCAAGCATGGGGCAAGCCCGAACGTGGGGCAAGCCCGAACACGGTGGGCAGGACCTCGCGCGCAGAGGCGCTACGGCCTACACTTCGTGAGTTGAGGGCAGGCCTGCCTGCAACCAAATCCACCAGCCGCCCATTTCGGGGTCTTCTTGGGCCACCTTTGGGTCCCTGCGGATGCCCTCTCGGGCTGCCTCGGGCCCCGAGGGGCTTCGTGGATGCGCGCAGCATCGAGGGGCAAACCTGGTTGCAACGAGGGCAGGCCCGCCCTGCAGGCCACAGATCGAATGGCAAACTGAATTGCGAAGAGGGCCAGCCCGCCCTACAGGCCAAACGTCGAGCAGAACACCATCATGAAACGCGCGGCATGGGGGGACAGAGCAAGTTACAACAAGAGCCGGCCCGCCCTTTTCGGGCCATTGCCTAAGCGCCACAACTGGGGAAGCGAACGAGAGCGGACCTTCCTGGCCGGTTCTGGGGGCCCTCTTGGGCCATCTTCGGGCCAGCAACGGGGGAAGCGAACGAGAGCGGAGCTTCCTGGCTCTCTTGGGCTGGCCTGGGCTTTCTTTCAAGCGTTAGGAGGAGGAGGAAGAGGAGGAGGAGGAGGAGGAGGAGGAGGGGGAGGGGGAGGGGGAGGGGTAGGAGTAGGAGTAGGAACCAGTGGCGGAGCCAGTTCAATCCATACTACCCGCGACCCCTCAGGGTCCTCTCGGCCTTGCTGAGGACCTTGGGGGTTGAATTAGCACGGATTCTATCTAGATATTCTCTGCCTGTGGGGGTGCATCGGCGAGAACATTCCTTGCCAAGGGCACGCAGCTGCTTGTCAGCTATGGCCCCACACCTCCCACAGAACCATGTCTTCAAATTCACATTCACATTGAGGAGATGAGATGGGCGTAGCCAGCCCCCCGCCACATGCACACGAGATCCAGGAGACGGGGAAAATATGGCACCGTCGACATTGTACAGCTTCGGACACGGGGAATTCCAGAAGTCCTGAAGGGTAGCTTGCGACGCCGAGCCGTGACACTTAAAACACCGTCTCCGATCATCGGTTAGTTCATGCTGAGACATGAGCGGGGCGAGAGCAGCAGCAGCAGGGGGCGGAGGGGGCAAGGGCGGGGGGGGGACCCCCTGCTTTTTCCTCTCAACCTCAAGCTGCTTATCCTTAGCGAAGCAATCCAAGGTGGCCCTGAGCAAACGGAGCCGCACCAACCGTGCTCTCCTCTCATGCAAGTGCACACGGTACCTGTCGGCCTCAGGGACCCGATGCTCCATGGCAGCAAGGCCTGCCAGTTCATCGGCCACCAGGTTCCCCAAGACAAGATTTCGAGAAACTCTACCGTCGACAATGTCACCTGGCCCACTGTGGGAGTGGGTGAAAATCACAGAAACATGTTCATGACACCTATGCTGCAACATCCTACCTATCTCCTCCCAGAGGTCGGCATCTTCGCCCGAAGGAAACTTATGCAACTGTTGGTGCCACCCCTGGGAGACATAATCACAGTCCGTTATATAGCAAGGCCAATCCTGCGACATCCACATTGCGAGGGCGAAAGCCTGTAATTCCCCATCGCGCAACAACCTGACGCCTGCCTACCAACGGGCAATATACACAAGCATCAATCTAAACGCTGGGCATGAGCTGTGGGCACAAGGCGATGGCGACTCCTACCCTACGCATCCGAGGATCGCTCGACTCAGGGCCTCCCGAAGCGCCCCCAAAGACCTGGATAGGCGCCGTCGGGGATCCAGGGCCCCAAGCACCAAGGTCCAGCGGGGGCCCCGAGAATTTCCACTGAGCCTCGGAAGCGGGGGGCGGAACGGCAGTCCAGCCTCGAGGTAAAAGTCCACGCAACCAAAAGGCCTCACAAGTGGCCGCCTGGGTCTGAGCCTGCGTCACCAGCTCGTCGGACATGGTGCATGGCCCAGCTCCCTGATTGCATCGGCATGTCCAATACCTGTGGAGTGGCGTCTCGGCTGCTTCTCCACAGCGATCACAATCAGCAGCCCTGGCGTACCGCTTCAACTCCGCCTTCTTGCAAGCGTTGGGCCAGCAGCCGCCCGCCGCTATCATCACAAGAATCTCGGCCATCCTCTTGCCGTTATCCAGACAACTGATTTGATTCAAAAGCTTCCGAAAAGATCTGCAATCAACTCCGTCTTCGACTCCAGCGCCGCAGTAGTGCTTGGCCGCCGTAGCCCAAACCTTGAGCTCAGCAGCCTCCTTGATGTCCTCTAGCAGCGCCTTATGTGACACAACTTTGTTCTGCTCATATACCGAATCAGGAAACTGCCATTCTTCGACTCGTCCAGGGCCGGCTTGGTAGCTCCACGTTGAAGCGTCTACTGGGTTCCACCCCAGCCTGAGCAAGCTGTGGATCACCGTGGACACAGGGCCACGGATAGCACGACACTGCTCAGCTTCGGTCATTTTCAGAAACTTGGTGACCAGGGGACCCCAGACTTTGCGAACCCCACTCCGAATCTCACGATGGGTATTCCAAACTTTGAGCCAGCAATCGATTGTCTGCACAGGATACAGTACAGCAGGGTCGGCATCAGGCGCGCGAAGGGCCAAGACGGTTGTCAGACACCGCCCTTTGGCCGCTGATGCGCACGATTGTGCCAACCTCCTGCGGCACTGGGTCAGCTGGGTACCAAACAAGCCATGAACTTGGTGCCCATATACCCCAGCAGGCAGACCCCCTTGACGCTGCAACTTCTTGATAGCCCCGTATTGACGCGATGCCCGAGCAAAGCGCCGAATCTTAGTGCTCATCAACTTGTGCTTTTTCTCTCGCTGAACTCGAACTGCACGGGCACGGCGCCCACACCCAAAATCAATCCCCAGATATGGCGCCTGTAAAACAGGTTTGACCGTGAAACCAGCCTGCCGAACACGTCTCGCCACAAACTGAGCGTCCTTATGTCTCGTACACAAAACAACTGACTTGTCCGCAATCTCCAGAGACCACTTCCTCATTTCCTGGCAAG